GAGGGGGGAAAATGAAGAGCTGATACCAGGGGCTTAAATGGAGAGCAAATGTTTTGAGAATGAGGGCAAAGAATGTACAAATGTGCTTTACACAATGGGTATATGTATGGATTGTGATAAGAGTTGTATGAGCCCCCAATAAAATGATTTAAAAAAAGGAAATCTCTAGTAAAAGCCTATTAACACTACTACTAAAGACATTTAACCCTAGAAAAGGGTAGAGATGGTGGGTACTTGGTTGATTGTTCTTAGTAGCCTACATTACATAAAATAATAGATTTAAAAACGTATAACTCTACTCTGTGTTAGGTACAATTCTAAGTCTTTACAGATATGACACAATTACATTCTCAACAATATCGTGAAGCACGCACTTTCATTTGTCTCTCCAACAAATGAAGTGCCGAGGCTCGGAGCAGTTCAATAAATCCCAAGATTGGACATTTAGTAGGTGGCAGAGCAGTATAATCAAATGTAGGATTCTCAAGCCAGCACAGATTATTCTTCACACCCTCACCCAATTATTTTTATGTGTTTAATTTGATATTGATTTTGGGGGGTTATTTTTAAAATAAAAGAAAAAGAGCATTTTCTATAGGGGACAATCTCTTTTGAAGTGTTGTATTAGCAATGCGCAGTTTTTCTTTTAAATTAGAGTGACGGTGTAGTTTATTCTTGGATTGTTAAATAATGTCTTGTAGGGCAATGATTTATAACATCAGGAAGACTCTTACTAATAGATTGGAACTTTATCCTTGAAAACAATCTCACCCCTATCGAATTTCTAGTCCCTTCTCCCACAAGCACCCTCTTTGTAATCAAAATGTTTGATTCCAAATGTCATAAAAGAGAAAGGCAATTTTAAAGAATATTGCCCCCAAATGTTCATTGATATAATGCTTGAATTTAAGATTAATACAGAGCCCGTTGAATAAGTTCAGGGTATATATAACACTGCTTTTTACATTGGACAATTTCTCTTCCCCATAAACTCTTTTATCTCAAGTAGGAAGTGCCCTCTTGACAGGACTTCCGGTAATTATAGCGTTTCTAGAATATAACATGGTAAGAGTAGTTGATGACCATATAATTGCAATTGTTGTCATGAGAGCTTCTTTATAATCACCACAATATAATATGCACTTGATCCCAATAAGTATGCATTTATCTCATGTCACTACTATAATTAAGAAATAAGACAGTGTAAGTAGAGTGTTTCAGGATAATAATAGTTTCCCAGGACTGAAGTTATTATGAAAATCCAGGCTGCAGCCTGAATGCTTAAAAAAAATGTAATAGTGTCCTAGAAATCTACCACCTGCTTTCTAACATTATTTTGGAATAAAACGTTAAGGCACCTGTGAGTGTCTAATATCTGAAAAATTATAAATGAAAATACTGCTATGAGAATATTGCAAAGCTTATTTTTATATCATACCCTAACTGACTGTCACTGAGAATTCCAATTCATGGCATCCCAATTAGCAACCCACTACTCCACCTGGGCTCCTTTGTAAAATATCGTAAACTCCAAACTCACTGCTATTGAGTGGATTCTGCCTCATTGTAACCCTATCGCACAGAGAAGATTGGTCTCTCTGGATTTCCAAGACAGGACCTGTAAATCTTCCTGAGAATAAAAAGCCATATCTTTCTCTTGTGAAGCAGCTGATGGTTTTGAACTGTTGACTTTGTATTTAGCATCCCATCTTGCAACCCACTATGCCATCAGGACATAGGCAGAAGATGTATCTTTCTTTTTTTAAATCATTTTATTGGGGGCTCCTACAGCTCTTACCACAATCCATACATCCATCCATTGTGTCAAGCACATTTGTAGATTTGTTGCCATCATCATTCTGAAAACACTTTTTTTGTACTTGA